AGGAGGCTACTCCATAACCTAGACGCATATGAAATGTCACATGCAATTCAACACATCAAACATTCATTCAAATACACGTGTCAGAAATGAATGCTACTATTTCATGCTATGTCATGAGGTGAAAGCCACGCATACGATGCAAATCCTAGCCCTCCAACAGCTGCTATAACACACGTCATGCCATGCGTATACATCCGGACATTCCAAGCCCCACCATTGGTGTTATGTACACCCAATGACCATTTTATAAAAATCTTGTATCTTTGTGAGGCAATGATTTATGGGATTTCACCAATGGGACACCACACCATCAACAGATTTTCAGGACTTCCCACTTGTGGCTCTGTTTTTGCAATTACACTTTTTTGGAATTTCACCGCTAGAAAATGTAAGAACCAAGTAACTGAGTCTTGCACTCGAGGGAGAATTTAGTCCTTCTTACTACACCCCAACACGTTTATTCATTCAATTTTTCGTGTGACTTAGCTGGAGCTTGGTGCAACTTTCCTGAGCCCACGATCAACCCACCTATGTGGTAATTGATTTTAAAGCATTCACACACTCCACACACACGACAAATGCCAACAAATGCGATGTTACATGCATAAATGAAAATGTAATGCACAATTTCAATTTACAATGTCAAGTGCATTATATTATGAGCATATTATGAATATACCCATTCCCACAACCATTTCAATTTTCTTAATGTAACTTATATCATAAAACATATAAATATATTCCAAAATCTTCACAAAGCATGTTATGTTAATTTAATTCAAATAACATACTTATATCATTCAAGACATTTTATCAAACACCCACAAGGCACAAAATCTTTTAAACACATAACATGTCCAATTCATCACATTTCTCATGTATTTACCAAACAAACAATTTCAACAAACCCATTTCATGCAAAATTGGTTCAACATATTTCTACTCCCATTTTTCATATTCTAGTTATGCTAGGAGTATATTACCTAAGAGATTTCATCTCTAATCATACTACCCATTTTATATGTTGTCTTAGGTTAAAAATAAACCTAATGAGGAAAAGAACCTTACCTCTTGTAACGCCCCAAAATCTCTCTTGGACGGCATTACAATCTAAAATCATTCACATCATGAGAGCAACTAATAAAATTCATAAATAAAGATAATTTCATTCATCATTCATAATATATACAACATCATCCAAAAGAATATGGCAAATCATGACAATTACATCCAAAAGAATCAAACATAATCTTGCAGCGGAATAACAAAATATTAGACTTCACATTGTCTCAAAATATTTTCCTAGTCTAGAACATAATAGAGTATAGCTCTAAACATCCACCTCAGGATCCATGTTCCCATCTATTGGAGCTTCCCAATGTGCCGGCTCATCAACTCTGAGCTCCTCCTCTAAACCAAAATCTGAAAATAAATATTTTTTGTAGGGGTGAGCACTAAGCTCTATAGGAAAATCCTCTCAAACTTGGACAAGGTTTTAAAAACATATAAAACAAGTCGGTCTCATTTCACAAATATCATATATAACTTTTTGAAAGAAAACAGTGACAGTTCATCCGATCTCAAGTTTAAGTAATATCAATAAATTAAAAGAAAAGATAAAACCAATTCCCAACAATAAGCCAATTTCAACAATGAACTATAATCCCACCATTTGTAACATTACCCATAATGTATATCAAACCACAACTCGTATCTTTCACAAAATTATGTATCTATGTATCTCTGGTATGATGTATGACATCGCATGAATAAACACATTGAGAATATCCTGGCCTACACACACACACCCAATCCTTGCAAGGATATCCAACTTTTAGGAAGGGCGTATACCAATACATTGGCAGTGACGAATTCAACCCAAGAATAGTATACTAACCCTCAACCTCAGTACCCGTGAGCGAATAATGGTTTGGTCCTAACAAGGTACCAACCCCACTGCGAGTGGTAGAAAAAATTCAAATCCACACGGAGAAAAAAACGCATCTACCCACTCTACGATACCCGGTCAACGGCCACCTATGATCATCCAAACATCCACAAGAGATATAATTTTCAACAAATTTCTCAAATAACAAGCAAATCCAAAATTCTCAAATTTTATATGTAGTATTTTCATAGAACAATTTAAGAAAATAAGCAAGAGATCATCAACAATACCATTTTATTGTTCAATAAAAAGCACTAAAGTTTTGAAATCAAGGACAAAGAAAAAATCAAGAGAAAATTCATTTCTCTTGAAAACTAGAGTTCTAAGATAAGAAAACAAGATTTAATGGCTATTCCACTATAGCTTCCTTAAAAACATGGGAATCTTTGCAAAAATATCAAGGAGTAAGGATTTCATAGTATATACATATGATTGAGAGTGAAAAGAATACATATATGTAAGCCCTAGTCTCAATGAACAAGAGTGGCAGGAAACCCCTACCTTGAATCAAAAGTTTCAAGTAAAACCCAAGCTCTAGAGACTTCTTTCCTCCCTTTTCTTCCTCCCTTTATCTTCTCTTAGGGTTCTAAGTGGTTTGGGGTGAGAGTGGAGTGAAAGAATGGAAGAGAATGAGATGAAAATGGTGTTTTAAAGCCAGCCCAATCCCGAATTTTACTGTTCATAGGGCCAAAAATTACATTTTTCTTTGAAATTATGGTTTTGTCACTAAATATCTCTAATTTGATCTCTATGACTACCCTAAGGTTTTTAGACATTTCGGATTCAGTTTTAATATTATTTTAACCTAAAAATATTTAGTTTTATGATTTATCTTTATACTAAAGTAAATTTGCACTCGAAACACTAAAATTACTATTTTATTGCTCCGAACCGCTATTAATGAAGGTTGTAAATCGATTGACCCATCCGAGGTCCAACATACCATCCTTGGTACTCTATTATTATCCATTTATAACATTTGAAGGAAAAAATGCATAGTCCCAAAGCTTGGCAAAAACAGATTCAAAATTTCTGATTTTTAGAAAGAGTACATTACTCGGTACCGGTACTGTTTGCTTTCTGGATGTCGTGGTACCGGTACTCGGTACTGATACTATTTGTCTGGATTTTCCTGTTTCACCTATTTTTCATTTTCAATCCGTTCCAAACCCTTCCAACACCAATCCAAACTTATACAACATACATTTGTACATCAAATATAGTTGGTACAAGTTCTACTACTAATGATTTCAAATATTTACCCGGGTTTTATAATATTCGCATTTCCAAAAAGAAATGATTTCTTGCTATATAAAGATAAGAGTGTGGGGGTTTATACCTCTTGAAGCGTAAGACACATAGTAAAAACTCCAAGAAATCCAAACTCAAGCCTCAAAGCTTTGTTCCCAACAATCCCATTCTTGAGACGTTGGCAAAACCTACGATCTTTGGTACGTACTTGTACCTCTTGTCATGTAGAACACTTTTTGTTCTTGGTCCGAAGCAATCCGAAGAATGAATCGTCCTAGATCGCAAGGAGAAGCTTGGAGAACCCTTGTTTTCTCTCTCTTCTTCTCTCTTTCTCTCTATCCGGCTGTGTATGGCTGAAGAATGGGGAGAAAAATCTGATTTTTCTCCCCTTTTATACTCCTTTAATGCTTGGCCTAGATTCTGCCACACATGCCTCTTTTGCTTGGTCCAATTTGATCCCGAATCAATTAAATCTCGTCCCGTGTTATATTCAGTAGATTTTATTTGAACTAACTTTAAATTAATTTTCATGTTTCGCAATTAAATCCTAACCGCATTTATTTTGGCTGCACAATGCCCAATCGCATTGTAAAACATAAAAATTCCAATTGCTTCAGAATTCGACGAAATTTGATTGGGTAACTTGATTTAGCAAGACGAATCCAAAGGTGAGGTACGTTTCATCATTTGAATTCTAAAAAAATTCGGATTTTCAACCCGCACTATAACAGCTAATTACCATTTTGTCCTTTATAATAAAATTTTAATTTTCCTAGGTTTTACACTCACTACTACCTATCTCCTCCATATCTCCTCGTGACTCAATCACAAAAATAGCTAGTGAGGGATCCATAGATGAGGATGGCATTGAACTAGTCGACTATGAAGTAGATGGTGATGTTGCAATTTGATAAGACACTCCAGGCAGCAGAGCCTCAAACATCATCTTCTGAACTACAGGTGAGAACTCCAACTTTATCAATGTCTATGCCTGTGTTTCTTGCATAATCATCAGCCTACACTCCATCCCCTCTACTCTTTTCTCCATCCTATCCGTCATCTGGTGCATCATAGCCTTTGAAGTGGGTGGAACAATGGTAGATGAAGGCTCAGTAGGTGCAGAGGTGGATATAGGTCTATCAGTCCCAGCCCGTGACATCGTGTCACTCTTCCTTTTCGACCAACTGCTAATAGGTCTCTTCTCTAGAGGAGTCAAATGATCCTTGAGGGTCTTCTTCACTCTAGCCTGCATGCAAAATTGTGTAATCATCCTCCCAAATAGCATATTGCCCTTAGCCTTACTCTCTAGCATTTAGTCTCTAATCACCTCCCACATAAACAATGCAATGTCTATTTGTGACCCTTGCATGACCTCGTACATCAAAATGATCTTAGGGAGAGGCAATCTCTTATCAGACCCCTTTAAAAATACTTTGTAATGCAAAGTCTTGCTCATGGTTCGGTAATCAGCAGTTAGCTTTCCTACACTAAAATGTCCATGAAACTGAGCTAGGTATTTGTACATTATTGTCACATACTCGGCTAACAACTTTGCAACAAACTTAAGGTGTCGGTATTTAATCTTCTTTGCTAGTGGCCTCTAATAACCCAGATACTCAGCTATCATATTGGGTGTAACCTCTATAATCTGGCCTCTCACTATCGTCCTCAGGATTTGAAGGTTTTCATCCACCTCCCTCAAGCCACTATAAAACTCCCTACACAATGCCAAAATGTATCCATACACCTTCTAAAAGAAGAACTATAATCCCAATTGCACTATTCTGTGGACTAGCAAAACCTTCTGTAAACTTCTGTAGTCTACCATCTGCTTACATGTATCAACCTTACCCCTTATAACAGCCTCATAGGACACCTTTTGCCTTTTCCTCGACTCAGACTCTAGAGGCACCTTGGGTACTTGGTCATTCATGGAGGCCTTTGAAGTAGACGATCCCCTAGTCTTGGTCATCCCCACCATAGCTAGACTCATAGCTAAGATGATGTAAATAACAATCCAAAACTATATGAAGTGGAACCCATGAACTTCCTAGATGCCATGTCAAATCTAGGATTTAAGTGAGTGAAATAAGTGAGATGAATGAGAGAGTTTGATTTGGAGAAGAGGAATATTGGGAAGGCTTTTCAAAAGTTAGAGAGAAGAACTGAGGAGTAGCTTCGATTTTGAAATTCAAAAGTGAAAATTGGTTAATCGGTGAGTTCAACCAGTTGAAGTCAATTTCCTTCTCTGCTCAACCATTTGGAAATGATTGTTCAACCAGTTGAACTCAATTTTTTGTATGTTTTTGTATTTTGTCCCCTTTATTTAACTAATCCTAAGACATTCAAAATCCTAATTACATGCTTAACCATCTTATTACACACAACATGATATTTTAAAACACCCAAAAAATGTACTAAACTACACATTACCTAAAATTTAAAATGAATTCCAATCAAAAACACTAAATGAAACCTCAAGCCACCTTTGTAAGGTACATGATTGCATTTCGAATGCAACAAGCCTTTAAACCCCTTAGTCACCCCTAGTGGACGAGTTGTGTCTCGTGAAAGTTTTCAGTGAAGATACCTATAAACTTCCCTTTATTGCACATTTTAGATTTAGAACATATTATAATCTTCTAACTAGCAATGTGATACACTAACTATTCTTCTATCATCGTTAAGACATTTACACACCACTACTTCTCAAATTTAAATGGTATGAAAAAATATTCACATACACATTTTCATAAGAGACTCGTGTGTATGTGTGTGAAATGACAATGCAATTTAAGAAATTTATCAACTAAAACCCACATTTATAATAGTTATCCAAAATTAGCTTCAATGTTCAAGGATTTTCTGTCAAAATATAAAACACTTTGATTATACTAATGTTTCACACATTGCCTATAGGTGAGGTAGATTCTTGTAATTCAAAACAAAGTAAAACTCACATATAATGTGAAACCTGAGAAAATTTTAAATTTTAATTAAATGGGTAAAAGGATAATTAGACGTTAAAGCACAGGTCAAAAATATAAATTTTTATATAATTCGGATGATGAAAAGGACCTGTAACACCCTAAAATCCCCTTTGGATGACATTACTATTTAAAAACTATTCACATCATGAGAGAAACTAATAAGATCCATAAGTAAAGAAAATTTCATTCATCATCCATAATATCTACAACTTCATCCAAAAGAATATGTCAAGTCATGGTCATTGCATCCAAAATAATATGCCTAACTACGAAAATTACATCCCAAAAATTAACTATTTTCTAGCAGTGGAATAAGAAAAATATTAACAAGAACATTATCTCAAAATAAACCTCCTAGTCTAGGACATAAAAAGAACAATTTTAAACATCCCCATCCGGGTCCACATGCCCGTCAAGTTGAGCATCTCAAGCTACTTGCTCGTCAACTCTGAGCTCCTCCTCTAAACCAAAATCTGAAAAGAATGTTGTTTGTAGGAGATGAACACTAAACTCTGTAGGAAAATCCTCCCAAACTCGAACAAGGTTTCAAAAGCATATAAAACAGTCGGTCTCATTTTACAAATATCATATATAACTTTTGAAGGAAAACAGGGACATTTCAATGGATCTTAAGTTTACACAATAACAATAATTAAATAAAAAAGTAAAACCAATTCCCAAAAATATCAATTGCAACAAGTTACCATTTCCACCATAACCATTTTCACAATAAACCAATTCCACCATAAACTCCTTTCAACAATAAACCATAACCAACCATTTTCACAATAAACAATAGCCCACAATGTATCTCAAGTATGATGTATGACATCGAATGAATAAACATATCGAGAATATATTGGCTCACACACACACACACAACTTATTGGCAATGAAGAACCCAATTCAGGAATAGTATACTAACCCTCAGCCTCAATACCACGTGAATGAATAGTGGTTTGGTCTTCGCAAAGCACCAACTCCGCTACGAGTGGTAGGAAAAATTCAAACCTGCACGGAGTAAGAAACACATCTACCCACTCTATGATACCCAATCAACGGCCACCCTTGGTCATCCAAACGTTCACAAGAGATACAATACCCAACCAATTTCTCCAATCTCAAGTAAAATTCAAAATTCCCAAATTTCATATGTATTATTCCAATAGAATAATTTAAGAAAATATGTAAGAGATCATAAAAAATACCATTTTGTTGTTTCATACCGAACACTAGAGTTTTGAAATCAAGAACAAAGGACAAATCAAGAGAAAAATTCATTTCTCTTGAAAACTAGGGTTTTAATACAAGAAAAAGAGATTTTATGGCTACCCAACAATAGCTTTGTTTAAAACATGGTAATATTTACAAGAATATCAAGAATCAAGAATTTCCTAACATATAAATAGGATTTAGAGTCAAAACATACATATATATAAACCTTAGTCGCAATGGAAGAGAATACGAAGAATCCCCTACCTTTCTTCTTCCTTGGTGTTGTGTGAAAAACTAGAAGATTTGATCCACTTCAATGTGTGAATCCCCTTCAATATTGTGTTTCTCCCTTTCCTTCCTACTCTCCAAGGCTCTCTAGTGGTTAGAATTGATGAAATGGGGTTAAAGGAGGTGTCCTTAGGTATTTATAGTGTAAAAATTGGAGAAAAATCCTAAAACTGATCGAGGCCGATTTTAGGGTAGTGTCCGAACAGTCCTTGGGTGTCTGAATGGTTCAAAGTCTCTGTTTTTAATGAGAAATAAAGTTTTTGGGTAAGGAGTACCGTTCAGACGGTGCTTGGAGCATCCGGACGGAGGCAACTTTCTGTCCTAACTTCAAGAGCAGTTTTCACCTATTTAGAAGTTGATTCAGGAATTTTTCGGCAAATGCACTTTTTTAGCCCTTGAAGTCTAGTTTCTACTATCCAAATATAAGCTCCATTGGAGTTTATATTAAAAATTTATGACTAAAATACTAAAGTAGTGTCAAATTCTTTCCTACCCGAATCCTTTCTAAAATACAGTTTAACTCCGCAATACTTTCTAACTTCTAATACATTTCATATTACCTTTTCCAAGTTTTCTCGACATTCCGGATCCCATGGAAACCTTATTTTGACCTAAAAATAGTTATAAACTACCTAATCACTATTTTCAATTTTAAACACCTTCAAAACTAAATTTGATTCGAAAGTCAATTCGTCCGAAACTTAAATTTCATGATCAATCTTTTAACAATGATTCGAGATTTCTACAATTCTTTTATTCATCCTAAGAGAAATATTAATTATTTAATTACAGTATGCAATTTTACAAGACCTCACTGTTAGATTCGTCTCGTAAAATTGGATTAGCCAATCAATTTTCATTAAATTTTGAGACAGTTGAATTTTCGAGTGTTACAATATGATTGGGTATCACACGATTATATTATGTGATCAGATTTAATAGCAAAACTTGTAATATAATTTAAATTACATCTCATAAAATTAGATCAAACATAACATGCGGCGAGATGTAATTGGTAGAGACAAAATTGAACCAATGAAAATGTGACACTTGGCACCTTAAAGGCCAAGTATATAAAAGATGAAATAAAGTGGAAGTCAAAGTCTTTCACTCATTTTTGTTTCTTCAAAATTTTTCCACAGAGAGAGAGAGAGAGAGACAAGTGCTCATTTCTTTATATTTTCCTTCTTTCATCCTTCAATCTAGTAAGATCCGAGCAACGACTCACCTAGGAGTAGCAAGAGGAAGAGAGAATATATATAGAGGAGTCTGGGGAAGGGGATCTTCTCTCTTCTTTTCAGCAATTTTTTAGAGTTTTCATTTGTAAGCTTAGCCATAGAAAAAGAGTTTTACTATAACTTTAAAATTTTAAAGCTTCCCTGAGTTTCAGAGGAGAGAATACTTGAGTTATTTCAGAGCTTTGTTGTGTTGTATTTGAATCTATTGCTTGAAGATCAATCGTAGTGAGAGCATTTTCCTTCATCTAATTGTATTTTTACAAATGTTTAGCATATTATTCAATACCGATTTTGAAGTTAAGTTTCGTTTTCGGCTAAATTTTGGCATGATCCAATGGATGATTCACATCCATAATCAAGCATGATGACTTTCCAGCATGTTTGAATCAATCAAATGTTTTGAAGTAAGAAACAAATTGATTTTGAACCTTAGTTGTTAAGTGATGACTTGATTTCCCGTCGACGGTTAGTCCGAAAAGAGTAATGCTTAGAACTCATTTATACAATCTAAATGCTTGTCATGATAGTCTATTTCTTATCTTCAAAGCTACAGTAATATATGATTTGGTTTTATTGAATATCATCCATTCGAGAATGTTTGAATACAACTTCGAATGAGAAAAAGTAGAAAGTCGGAATATATGGTTATGGTGAGTTGATTCCTAAGGATTAGCCGATTATTTTTCTATTGATTACAATGCATACAAAATTTGTTTTATCACACTTTCACAAATTACAAGATTTCTATTTTCACACACACACATCACCAATTGAATTTCATCTGTTTCTTGAGGAAACGACCTTGGATTTATCTATGTTACTACACTGCAATATTTTTCTTACGCTTGGGAAGGCAAGAGTTATATCTTGAGAAAAAGTGATTTATTCACAAATAAAAGTTAGACAAGCACTTTCCAAACCAACTCCATCCATATGCACAACCAGACCCACCACAAAAATCCACTTTCCGAACCCATAACCAAGCTACATTTATTTGTTCCTCTTCTTGTCCCTTGATCTTTTGTGTTACAAGTGTGCTCAATTTGATTCAATGTTAGATCACACCTAACATAAGTTTAAGTGGAACTCATTATTTCTAAGTAGGTTTCTGATGCATATATTGTGGGCGATTTTGTTAGATGTGTATGAGAGAACTATATATCTCAACGAAACAAGATACTTACCTCCTGTTATATCGTTCAAGTCTTTAAACCTTGAAATTCTAAAACACGAACCTTGAATTGATCAGACAATCACAAAAA